CCTAGGAGGCGCGACGGGCGGAAGCGGTAGGCGGGGGGATCCTAACCTAAGCGTGATACCATGTTAACGTAGAAACGAATGATTACTAGAGGTGGAAACCTAGAACAAATACTAGTTGGTTGTACTCACTAGAAGCATACCTCAGTCTAGCCTATAACTTCTACATAGATAATATGTATAAGTTGACACATACCCTATCTAGCCTATACCGTAATCCCCCGGATATAACACCCGCCGGAATAAAACACCCATTGGTGTTATATCCGGGGTGGGTGTTCTATTGACGAACCCGCAATTATACACCCACCTTTTGAGGAACCTGGGATAGCACCCACCCCATTGTTTTTTGCCTACTTTTCAATTTGCGGAGTACTACTGGTACAATATTAGCACTACAGTTGCCCTACTATACATGCCAGATTAGCAACTACACTAGGCATTCCTCTACACTAGCTTGTGCTGTGAGCACCACGGGATTGGTGGGCAACATGTTGGGCGTATCGTTGGAGGGAGGGCGTCGCTTGGGTGTGACAACAGAGGGGACGCCTGAGAGGGATGTTTCATGCCAGGTCGCATACTCGTGTGGCCTCTTCCCAGCCAACCTCTTCCCAGACTCGCGCGCTACAGTGTCGCGTAATTTTGACGCGAAACAGTTTGGTGCGGTTCCGCGTGGTGTACGAGAGATTGGGATTGTCGAGATTCAAGTGTTTTCAAATCTCGTTTCAGGTGCCAAAATTTCAGACATGCGCGAATCTCTACAGTGTGATTTTGACGAGAGCTGATTCATTGCGGTAAAGAACGTGATTCTAAAACGAACTGGCTGGAAAAACTGTTCTTCGGACATGCTCTCAGGCAAGGGCCGATTTTGGGAGGAGGATAGCTTGGGAAGAGGCTGGAAAGAACACGCTCTAAAACGGGCTTGACCCACAGGCGGACTTTGACCCTTTAGATCGCGCATATTTGCGGTCCTTTCGAGCCCAAACAAACATGGTCGGAAAGCTTATTGCACAAGAAACACGATGCAACCTTAAAAAATATATCCTCAAATATAACACCAGGGTGCTATAGCGTAAACACGAAATAGAGCACCCACCCCCCCATTTTTGCCCGAATTTTGTACTACACCCGGGGTGTTATATACGGGGGATTACGGTAGCTTCTACATAACAATATATGTATAAATTGACACCCCCTAGGCTAGATAAGGGGTAGTGCTGAGTAAGAAACACGCAGCTCAGGGTGGCACTACTAGTCCAACCTCTGAGACAGGGGCCCGAAGACCAGTCAGCAAGAGTACAAGCAAGACAGAGCAAACCAGGGCGGCACTACTAGTCCAACCACTGGTGGAAAAGCCACAAGGCCAGTCTGCAAGGCATAAATAGAAAGGAGTACACAATCAAGGGCCTAGCAAGTGAGAGTCAACAGGGACTAGACCTAACTGCAAGCAATGCCGCTGATGATCTCTAGGAGGAAGCGCCTTAGTAAAGATATCAGCTGTGTTGGCACCGGAGGCCAAGTGTACTATGCGGGCCTGGCAACGCTGCTGAAGCTCGTGCAGGAGGAAGTATCGCAGCTGGATGTGCTTCGCTCTGCCCTCAAGTCGAGGCTCCTGACACAGGAGGATCATGGCCCTGTTGTCAGCATACAGAACCGGGGCAGAGCTAGGCCGCTCACCTAAGTCGGCAAGCAAGAAGGTCAGCCAGCGGAGCTCCTGTGCCGCCATGGCACCGACGTAGATCTCAGCCTCGCAGATAGACTGAGCAACAGACGAGGAGCAAATGGACCTCCACGAGATGGCACCAGAACCAAGGCTGAAGCAGTAGCCCTGAGAGGACCGGAGGGTCTCGGCGTCGTCTGCCCAAGAAGCGTCTGTGTGCCCAGTAAGGACCACTGGTCTGCATCCTCCCAGCACTAGCCCCATGCCCGATGTACTTGCAAGATAACGCAAAACCCTCTTAGCGGCCGACCAGTGCTGTGGTCGGTGTCTGCCTGTGGCCACAAAGCGGGCCAGGATGCTGAGAGGGTATGCGAGATCTAGGCGAGTACAAGTCATCAGGTACATGAGGCAACCCACCAGCTCTGCGTAAGGACCACTCGGCTCTGCTGACTCCTCGGGAAATGGAGCTTAGAGCCTGTGGTCTACCGGCAGAGGTGTGGGTTGTGCGGAGGAGAACTGAAGACCGAACCTCTGAAGGACCTGGCGCACCAAGTGTGACTGTATAAAAGTGATGGTGCGCGCTGCTCTGTCCCTGGAGATCTGCAGGCCAAGGTAGCGGTACAGCTCTCCCAGACCAGTGCAGGTGTGTCGCCTCAGCAGCTCAGCCTTCACGGAGGCCAGCGCGTCTCTGTCTACAATAGCGAAGACCAGGATGTAGAACAGAGTCTGGCCAGCACGAACGAAGAGCGAAGGGTCAGCAGAGGACGGAAAGAACTGCACGTCAGCTAGTGTGGCACGCAACATGTCGTGCCACTCACGGGGTGCCTTTCGCAAGCCGTAGACGGGGCGCCGGAGGAGCCACTGGGACCCAGGAGGGAAAGTACCAGTGAAGCCCTGAGGGCGACGCAGGTAGACCTGCTTGTGTAGGCTGCCCTGAAGGAAAGCAGTGGAGAAGTCGAGGAAGTGAAGCTCGTAGTTACGCTTTGCTGCTACGTGTAGCAGCGCCCGAAGAGTAGTCATCTTCGGGGTCGAGGCGAAGGTTTGAAACAAGTCCACTCCCTCTTGCTGACTGAAGCCTCTAGCCACATAGCGTGCCTTGAACACAGGCGGCTCTCCAGGGGGGCGCTTCACCTTGAAGAGCCACCGGCCATTGACTACGTTCACCCCAGGTGGGGGAACTGCGTCGACGTAGGTTCCAGTAGCCCTCCAATATGCCATCTCCTGCTCCATCGCAGCTATCCACTGAGAGGCCCAAGGTCCCGAGGTCGGCTCAATGTAGGTGCGAGGGGTCGGGGTCACCCTCAAGGACTAGCAGCATGGAACAGAGATGGGGAGCAGCCTCTGACAGGAAAGCAAGCTCGTACTGCCGATCCTCCAAGACATTACTGCCGAAGGCAGAAGCATCCCCGATGGACGGAGGACAGACAGGGTCAGAGACCAGAGCGGTAGCGAAGTCAAGGCGGCGAGTAGAGGAAAAGTCAGCGACAGCAGCTACAAGAGCGTCAAGAATCGAGACAGGAACAAACGGGTCGGTAACGAGGGAGGCAGGGACCCGAGGAACAAGTGGACGAGCAGCACGAAGGTAGTCAGACAGAGGGGGAGGCGCGACAGTGAACGACGACGGAGGAGGCGAAGGCAAACGGGGAGGACGAGATTCGTGGGAACAAAGCAACATAGGGTGAGAACGCTGAACAGGAGAGACAGGACGAGCACGAGAGGGGCGGCGAGACCAGACGTGAGACGGAGGCATTGGGTCAGGAGACAGAGGAGGAGTAACAGGAGGGAACGAGAGGGGAAACGAGCCGAGGACGAGTCTGTCAGAGGAAACATAGGACCGTGAACAGGAAAAGGGGGAGATGGCGAGGGAGGCCCAGGCGAGCGGTCAGGAGAGGGAAGGCCGAGTAGGCGAAGGGCGGACACCGGGGGCGACTGCTGCTGCTGCTGCTCAACGCCGACACCTGGACCACCAGCTGCACCACTGCTACCTCCGGTACACTCTACGCCAGCACCCCCAGAACGAGAAACGTTTCCAGCACCGGTGCCACCCCCGAGCCTGCCGGGACAAGCCACGACAGGAGCCCCAGGTCTAGCACCCTCTCCAACTCCAGCACCCCCAGAGTCCACGTACGGCTTGGACTGCGACGATGGCTGCGGCTGCGGCGGCGGTGACGGCGGCGGCTGCGGCGGCGGCTCTGGCTGCGGCGACGGCTGCGGCTGCGGCTGCGGCGGCGATTGCGACGAGGGAGGAGGAGACACCTGGGGAGGGATAGGCGGCGCAGAATAGGCCACGGGGCCACTGGAGTCAGCCAACTCCTCGACCGGGCACCGACATGGAGCAGGACGGAGAGGGAGGGGAGCAGGGGCGACCGGGGGAGTGGGAACCAGAAACAGAGGGGGGGGAACTGAGAGACCTCGGTGAGGAAAGCGGTGGAAAAAGGAGACAGACTCGTCGAAAGTGACGTCACGGGAGTGAAGGAAGCGGTGAGACGGCGGGCGGTAGAAGTGCTAGTCAGATGAGTCAAGGGGGAACCCGACGAAGACGCAGGGGACGGTGCGGGCAGTGAGCTTGTCCGCGCAGGAGGCACAAATGTGAGCAAGGCATCCCTAGACGTGGAACGCAGACGCGTCACCAGGGAACCCGGTCCAAAGGAGGGTCGGTGAAACCTGCGGCCGCTAAGGGCGAGGCCAGAGGGGTGAGGTGATAGCGGAGGGAAGGGCGCGGAGAATGGGAGAGAAGAGCGGGGAGACAAAGAGTGTAAGTTTGGCTGCAATGCTGGGTAGGAAGTGAGAGTGAGGGTGGGAGTGAGGGTGTGACTGAGTGTGGGAGTGAGGGGAGAGGGAGAGGAGGAAGCGGCACATGGCGGGCTGTTGGGAGGCATCGAGCCAGGAGAGGAAGAGGCGGTGGGAGGAGAAGGCAGTGTAGGGGGGAGAGGAGGTGGAGGAGGGTGGGTTTTCTAGAATGCGCTTGAGCTTACGGATCTCCTGTTGGTGGTGTGGTTGGGGGATTGTGAGGGATGCAAGGGAAAGTGGGGTAAGGAAGAGGATACGATGCGATAGAGCAATTTTTTTAGAGCCAACTCAGATGAGCATGAGTAGTGTAAACAGCACATATTCCGTTGTAACAAAGCAGAAACATTCATCGATATATCCGTCTCGTTTCGTTGAGGCCTCCTCAAAGCAGGTTCAAAGCTGGCCACAGCTAAAGGGGCATTTGGCTGGGAGAGCACACACACCACAAGGGGACTTTTGAGTCGACTCAAAAGCCACCTAAGAGGCATTTGGGAGAGAGCACACATACCCCAAGGGAAAAGGCAAAGGAGGAGGCGTTGGCGAGAGCAAGGTCTGCTGAGTGGCCGATGAGAACGAGAGAGTACCAGGGGCCGTGTGGGGGGAGAGAGGGGCGGGATGAGGAGGAGGAGGAGGAGGAGGAGGAAGAGGAGGAGGAGGAGGAGGAGGAGGAGGAGGAGGAGGAGGAGGAGGAGGAGGAGGAGGAGGAGGAGGAGGAGGAGGAGGAGGAAGCGGAGGAGGAGGAGGAGGAGGAGGAGGAGGAGGAGGAGGAAGAGGAGAAGAGGGAGAAGAGGGGGGAGGAAACGGGGACATCGAAGTACAGATGCTGCGCAACGAAAACTCGTCGCTTCGCCAGACGCGGGTTGAAACGTGTCAGGGGCGGCCTGTTACCCGAGACGAAGATGATGCGAGCGAAGTGAGGGCGTCGGCGACACCTGAAGCAGTTGAAGAAGTCCACGGCGAGCCGCGGGCGGCCATTAAAATCAAACCTCCGATGCCCCCACCGTTCAAACCGACCGACGGGACAACTACAGTGAGCGGGTGGCTGTTCGCCATGGAAATCTTCTTCATGTCAGCAAGTATTAATGACAATGCATCACGTGTCATGTGTTGCTGCTGAGGGGACCGGCACTCGACTGGTGGCGCATGCATCTAGACGAGCAAGGAGCCCCGGCAGGGAATCAACGGGCGGGAGATGGGGAGCTGAGTTCATCAACAGTGAAGGCAGAACCAATCTTTGGATCGGCCACGATCCGCACGTGGAAAGCGTGGGGCGAAGCGTTGAAGGGCAGATTTGAGCACATATCCATGCGCGAAAATGCTCGCACAAAGTTTCGGATGTGGAGACAGTTGGGCTCTGTTCAAGAATACATGACGTCGTTTATGACAATCTGCGACCAAATCGGAGGGCTTAGCGAAGACGAGCGCATCGATCGCTACGTGGGTGGTCTCAAGCCGGAGATTCAGCAAGAGATCGTTCTGCGAGCCCCGGTGACATTCAACGAAATAGTTTGCATAGCAGGCGTGCTGGACGCACGACGTGGACTCGCGAGAGCGGGTTTTCGGGAGGAAAGTCGCTTTCGAGGCCAGCCCCAACAAACATCAATCAACGGCGTGGACGTGTTTGCAGCCCAAGTATTTTCAGGGACCTGCTTCCAATGCAACCAGCCGGGTCACATAGTGAGGGACTGCCCGTAGCTGAAGAAGAACTTACCTAATGACAAGAAGCAGTCGGGAAATGGAGATCATCAGTAGCAAATGGGCCACCACCCCCACTAGGTTATAGTGCCGATTTGGGCTATCGACCATTCCAGGCTGAATAAGGGGGGTGAATCGGTTGATCGTCCTGTGCTGGTTGAAGGGAGAGTTGGCAACACCCGCATCAAAATATTCGTTGATGGCTGGCGCACTAATCAGACGATGGAGCAGCTGATTCGCAGGACATGCACAGATCTGACCCAATGGGAAGACGCCCTTCCCTTGATCGAGTTTGCGTACAACAACGCCCCATCGGCCACGACTACCCAGTCCCCGTTCTTCCTAAATCACGGGATAGATTCGACAAGCCACTGATGCCATCCTCAAAGCCAACCAGAGGGCTAAGCAGCAAGCTGACCGATGACGCCGAGACTTAACACTTGCCCCTGGGCAATTGGTCCTGCTCGACAACCGAAATTTGGGAATTCCCCTCCCAAATAAATTACGACCAAGATTTTGCGGCCCATTCCGCATCATCCGCATGGTGACACCAGTCACTGCCCTGCTGCAACTACCGGCCGACTGGCGAATTCATGATTCATTCCACGTCAGTCTCCTGCGACCATTCGTTCCGAGTACGACGAATCTCGACCGTCAACACATCAATCCTACGGTCAACCCAGTACATGAGCCGACGATCGAGCCATCCAAGATTCTCGCGCATCGCGTACGAGGCCATCGAGATACAGCAACCGTTGATTTCCTTGTACGATGGGTCGATCGCATGACTGACGACGAACTTTGGGTCCCCGCAGTTGTGCTTGGCGAACACAAAGTCGTCCGTGACTATTTACACAGACGACGTGTCCCAGATATGGGTAGTCTCATCCCGGAAGGAGGGGTGGTGTAAGGAGATTCCCTTTTCCTTACGGGGCTCGATTACGGCGCGTACGCCCTCGACTCTCGGAAGTCCAGGCTCGGCCAACTGCTTCGGTTCCAAACAGGCCCCCAAATTGCAAACTTTTTACTCAGATTCAGACTCTTTTCAGACTTTTTTTTGGGGTGTACTCTGATTGGGAAGACTTTTTTTTGTACTTGACTCTGATTTTTCAGAGAAGGTTTATGTACCTACACTGATTTTCCAGACTTTTTCTACTAGTGTACTCTGATGCCTCAACTTTGTATAGGGGGATGACTCTGATTTGTGTAACACCGGAGAAGCGTGATTTACCCGCGAGGGAAGCTGATTGACCCTTAGCCAAAATCAGAGCGCGATGCTTGCGGGGGGCTTTGTGAGAGCGGTTACCGGCCCTTCACCAAAATCAAAGGCCAGTGCGTAATGGGGGCTGTGTGAGGGAGCTGACTGGCCCTTCACCAAAATCACCTCCCACTTTGTGCAGGGTGCGGGTGTGAGGGGCCGATTAGCCCTTGAAAAAAAATACCGATGTTTGCTGCGGGTTGTGTGTGCGAGGGCGCCCATTGGCCCTTCACGAAATAGCCACGTGGATGGCGCGATTTCCCTCCCTCCCTGCAATTTTACTTTGCCCGCCCCCCAATTCCTTTCCGGCCGCCCCATTTGCGCTGGCGCGGGGCCGGGTCGAGGGTGACACGAAATTCTGTGTGCTGTCGCCAGCACACAGATAGCAAGAGCACGCAAGAAGAGAAAGCCCCTGGATTAGGAAAGGGAAGGAGAAAATAGACATGCAGAATACAAGTTTTATAATCAGTGTAAAAATGAATGGTAACTCTGAATAATCAGACAAAAATATATTGTTACTCAGATTTTTCAGAATTTTTTTAAGGGGCGACTCTGATGGCCATACCAAGGGATGACAAGCAAGTCTGATGAATCAAACACCCCGAAAACCAATTTGGGGGCCTGGTTCGGAACCATTTCGCGAACCCAAACCTCGACGCGCAGCGCTTCCGTGGCTTTCGCCAACCGAATCGCCCCATCCTGTTTGCGTGGTTCTCCGCTAGCTCTGTTCGTGCCTATAAATGCCTAGGCCCTCATTTGTATTGACACTCTTGAATCACGACTCCTTTATTACGCTACCTGTTATTACTCTGATTATTTCATAACAGTGTGTTAAAGTAAGCTAGGATCTAGGTAGGAGGGAAGCCATAGAAATGGCGAGAGGTTTTAGGCTAGGAAAGTTGATGAGAGAAAAGAGATCAAGAATAGATGAGAGAGGCATACAAGGAGGGGGGTTGTACCCTCTAAAGTAGGTTTCAGTAAAACCTACCAAGCCTACCAATTATATAACAAAATATATAATTTAACACACCCCCTAGGCTTGGTAGTTTAAGAACCCACACACTCCCACACCCCCTTGTTAGAATACGTGAATGAATTACTAGAGGGGAAACAGGGAACATATAGCAGTTGGGTTATACTCACTAAGAGCACACATCGATACTAGCCTATAACTTCTACATGCATGATATGTATAAGTTGACACACCCCCTAGGCTAGAGAAGGGGTGGTGCAAGCAAGAAGCACACAGCTCAAGGTGGCACTACTAGTCCAACCACTGAGGCAGGCGTCCAAAGACCAGTCAGCAAGAGTACAGACAAGACAAAAGCAAGCCAGGGCGGCACTACTAAGGCCACAAGGCCAGTCAGACAGGTATATATAGTAGAGAATACACAATCAGGGTCCTAACAAGTGGGTAGCTACAGGAACAAGACCAAGCTATACACAGTGCCGCTGATGATCTTTAGGCGCAAGCGCCTTCGTAAAGATATCAGCTGTGTTGGCACTGGAGGCCAAGTGAACTACACGGGCCTGGCAACGCTGCTGTAGCTCGCGCAGGAGGAAGTACCGCAGCTGGATATGCTTCGCTCTGCCCTCAAGCCGAGGCTCCTGACACAGGAGGATCATGGCCCTGTTGTCAGCGTACAGGACCGGGGCAGAGCTAGGCTGCTCACCTAAGTCAGTGAGCAAGAAGGTCGGCCAGCGGAGCTCCTGTGCCGCCATGGCACCCGCGTAGATCTCAGCCTCACAGCTGGACTGCGCAACAGACGACGAGCGAGTGGATCTCCAAGAGATAGCACCCGAGCCAAGGCTAAAACAGTAGCCCTGAGGTGACCTGAGCGTCTCAGAGTCGTCTGCCCAAGAAGCGTCTGTGTGCCCTGTGAGGACCACCTGCCTGCGTCCTCCTAGCACCAACCCCATGTACTTGCTAGATATCGCAAAACCCTCTTAGCGGCCGACCAGTGCTGTGATCGGTGTCTGCCAGTGGCCACAAAGCGAGCAAGGATGCTGAGAGGGTATGCGAGATCTGGGCGAGTGCAAGTCATAAGGTACATGAGGCAACCCACCAACTCTGCGTAGGGGCCACTGGACTCTACTGGCTCCTCAGGAACGGGAGCGGAGAGCCCATGGTCTAAAGGTAGAGGTGTGGGTTGTGCGGAGGAGAACTGAAGACCGAACCTCTGAAGGACCTGACGCACCAAGTGTGACTGTGTCAGAGTGATGGTGCGTGCTGCTCTGTCCGTAGAGATCTGCAGGCCAAGATAGCAACGCAGCTCTCCAAGGTCAGTGCAGGTGTGTCTCTTCAGCAGCTCGGCCTTCACAGAGGCCAGTGCGTCCTTGTCAGCAGTAGCAAAGACCAGGTCGTCTACGTAGACAAGGATGTAGAACGGAGTCTGGCCGGAACGCACAAACAGCGAGGGGTCAGCAGAGGACGGAAAGAACTGCAGGTCTGCTAACGTGGCACGCAGTGTGTCGTGCCACTCGCAGGGAGCCTGACGCAGGCCGTAGACCGGGCGCCTGTGAAGCCATTGGGTCCCAGGGGGGAAGGTACCAGTGAAGCCCTGTGGTCGACGCAGGTAGACATGCTTGTGTAGGCTGCCCTGAAGAAAGGCAGTAGAGAAGTCGAGGGAGTGGAGCTCGTAGTCGCGCTGTGCTGCTACGTGTAGCAGTGCCCGAAGAGTGGTCATCTTCGGGGTCGGGGCGAAGTCAACCCCCTCGCGCTGGCTGAAGCCTCTGGCCACGTAGCGCGCCTTGAAGACAGGCGGCTCTCCAGGGGGGCGCTTCACCTTGAAGAGCCACCGGCCATCGACTACGTTCACCCCAGGTGGGGAAACTGCGTCGACGTAAGTGCCGGTGGACCTCCAAGATGCCATCTCCTGCTCCATGGCAGCTATCCACTGAGAGGCCCAGGGTCCCGAGGTGGCCTCAGCGTAGGTGCGAGGGGTCGGGATGTCGAAGGCGTCTGGGTCACCCTCTAGGACTAGGAGCATGGAGCAGAGATGGGGAGCGGCCTCGGAAAGGAAAGCAAGCTCGTACAGCCTGTCCTCTAGTACGTCACTGCCAAGGGCAGGTGCACCCCCGACTGACGCAGGACGGGCAGGGTCAGAGACCAGAGCGGTAGCGTAGTCAAGGCGGCGGGTAGAGGCGAAGTCAGC